CTATTATATATTTACGTCAATTAATAGATGACGGTTCTTAAATAACCGCCGTCTAATATATATTTACGTCACTTAATAGACGGCGGTTGTAAATAACCGCCTTCTAATATATATTTACGTCACTTAATAGACGGCGGTTTTAAATAACCGCCTTCTAATATATATTTACGCCACTTAATAGACGGCGGTTTTAAATAACCGCCGTCTAATATATATTTACGTCAATTAATAGACGGCGGTTCTTAAATAACCACCGCCTAATATATATTTACGTCACTTAATAGACGGCGGTTGTAAATAACCGCCTTCTAATATATATTTACGTCACTTAATAGACGGCGGTTTTAAATAACCGCCTTCTAATATATATTTACGCCACTTAATAGACGGCGGTTTTAAATAACCGCCGTCTAATATATATTTACGTCAATTAATAGACGGCGGTTCTTAAATAACCGCCGTCTAATTTATATTTACGTCACTTAATAGACGGCGGTTGTAAATAACCGCCTTCTAATATATATTTACGTCACTTAATAGACGGCGGTTCTTAAATAACCGCCTTCTAATATATATTTACGTCACTTAATAGACGGCGGTCGCCGTGTAAAGGTGTGATACTCCATATTTTTTTGGGCATTGTACGAGGACCATATGTGCATACGACTAATTTTATTAAATTTTCCTAAATTAATATTATTCATTAAGCTTAATAGTTTCTTAATCCAAGAAAACCTAGTATTTTCTAATTATATACATGTGCACGTATATTATGTTCCTACATAACATAATTAACCATCTCTCTTGTGGTCTGATGGTATTCGATATAGACCTTCAAAAAGGCAGGCCCGAGATCGATTCCCATCCCAAGCATGGGTTGGAATATTGTTGATAAAAATGATCTTAGGCCCTACATATATATAATATAATGTAATTTTGTAGACGGACGGAGGTTCCTCAAGACAACCGCCGTCAATACTATGTATAGACGGCGGTTCCTCAAGAAAAGCGTCGTCTATACATATAATTGTTGAGATTACACGACATACATCGTGAGATTAGACGGCGGGTAGCAACCGCCGTGTTTTAGAAGTATACACGGCGGTTTGAACCGCCGTAGAAAGTTTTTATTTACAAAGGCGGTCACTTACACGCACTTCAAGAACCGCCGTGTATTTATAAAAATAACCGCCGTTGTAAGTGTGTTTTGTAGTAGTGACCAATAATGTGTCTATGGTGTATCCATTATTTTTAATGATACTATACAATGTGTGTATACAATGAAACTGAATAGAATGTCTCACATATTGAGTGTAGTTGAATTAGAATGATACTTAAATGATGTTGTAATGAAACAACAGTGTGTATAAAATGAAATTGAATAGTGGGTTATATTGTCAAACAATGAAATTGTAATTGAATTAGAATGATGCTTTAGTGTTGTTGTAATGAAATTGAATAACATGTTTTACATATTGAGTGTAGATTATCAAATGAAACTGTAATTGAATTAGAATGATACTTTAGCGGTGTTGTAATGAAGCTACAATGTAATAAAATGAAACTGAATAACATGTCTCACTTATTGAGTGTATATTGTCAATGAAACTGTTGTTAAATTATAATGATACTTTAGTGGCCCTGTAATGAAACTACTGTGTGTATTAAATGAAAATGAAAAACCCACACAATTATTGAACTTCCATTGCTTCTATGTGTCGATTGATCCATAGTCGATAAAACTCTAAGAATACACTCGACAAAACGAATATAGAAGATACTAAGGGCAACCCCAATAGGGGATCATTCCAAGCTTTTCAAATAGGAAAATTCAATGGTGATGGGTTTTTAGTATTGGGAAGACCAAGCTTTTGAATGTGAGTTAGTTCCTCCGCCAAAACAAGAGATTTTGCAGTAAAATAGTGGGACCCTCTGCTCCAAAGGAGATTTTGCACCATTCACGTCTCACAGCTTACTGTATAAGTGGGACCCTCTGTCACTACTTACAACATTTTTTTTTTCTTCTGAAATCAGTTTTTTTTTTTTCTTTTTCCTCTTCACTCACATCTTTTCTTTCCTAATCACACTTACAAAAACTCCTCAAAAACCACAACAAAATCTCCACTATTGAGGTTGCTCTAAGAAGAAATACAAAGATGAGAAGATCACGAAGAAGATGAGAGAGGTTACTTCATATACCTTCTCGGAATTTTCAGTCTACCATTGTTAACAGTAATGTTTTTTTTTTTTCTAAAATTATTCAAACTACATTGTATTGCTTCCTAGTCCAAGCTGCTATCTGGACCATGATCCATAATAAAATTTGCCGCCAAATATTTAAATGAATAGTTATGATGTGCAACCATGTGCACTATACATGGTACACACGGTTGCAAAACGACGTCGTTTTGACTAAAAACGTGCATCCCATTTATTAAAAAAAAAAATCAGTTTCGATTCCCCTCAACAGCATTATGTTGTTCATTCATTGTGGATATTTAGTTCATTCATTCTGAATTTTTAGTTACTCATTCACTGTGGATATTTAGTTCATTCATTATGGATATTTAGTTCATTCATTGTGGGTATATAATTCAAATTATGCACAAAAAAATACTATTGCCAGGAATCGAACCTGATTTTTTTTTTAAGTGAGACGCGCGTTTTTTAGTCAAAACAACGTCGTTTTTGCAACCGTGTTCACCACGATTGCACAGCATAATTTGCGTATTTAGATAGTTACGTTTGTCGAATTTATTTTCTTTGATCCAATAAGTATATGATTTTTTACCACCAGAAAAAAAAAATTTTTGAAAGGAAAATGAATGACTTTATATTAAAATAAGTGCTAAATACAAGGAAACATTTAAGTGCTCTGAATTTTTGTTTTATAAAAAAACATTTGAAACTTGGACAAAGATGAATAACAGTATTCAAATGTTTAGTCAAACTTTTAAATTAAACTTCAAAAGTTTTATTATAACATATTTATCTGTCCAATTTCATTTGATCACTTTACAAATGTTAATTTTTTGTAAAAATTTCAATAACTATAGAATTTTTTTTTCTATCCTCCTCAGAATTGACTTATTAGATTAATATAATCTAATTTTTTTTAAAAAAAACGTGTGAATAAAAGTTATACCCTTTATTTATGTCTATTTTTTCCCGTTACTTCTTTTTATATATTATGCTATAAGAGTTGTACCATATAATATTTTGGTCAAGAATACCCTTATCATTATAACTCTCGTTATCTTTTCCAACTATTGTTGCCATGCACATGCATCAATTATATAATTTTGTATGTCTTCAATGGTAATAATATATAGACATTATATATTGGAGTACTATATAAGTTATTTACTACCAACTACTATGTAGTGTGATGACATCCCAGTTAATTTTGTATCTTTCTTCAATGGTAATAATATATAGACATTATATATTAGAGCACTATATAAGTTATTTCCTACTAACTATTATGTAGTGTGATGGCATCTCGGTTACCCATCCAAGCGAATGGTCAAACATTCGAACCCCGGTGGTGGGGCTTAGATTCTTTAGGGCATCCATTGATACTCGAACCAACAACATCTAATATAAGAAAACAACTTGGTGCCATGGGAGTATTGGACCTCAAGGTCTAGCCAAAATGGCTTACATTATTATTATTATTAGTATAATACTCACTTCGTCCCATTTAACTTTGATTTCTGGATTTTGATTAATCGGAATATAAAAAGGGTCTTTTTCTTGTTTATCAATTGGATCAATTAATTGATCGTTATTAGTCCCAATTGGAGTCTTTTGATTACTGCTGGGATTGATCTCTTCTTCGGGATTGATCTCTTCCTCTTCTTCTTTATCAATTGCATAAAATATTTCATCCTTATTAGTCCCAATTGGAGTCTTTTGATTACTGCTGGGATTGATCTCTTCCTCTTCTTCTTTATCAATTGGATCAATTAATTGAAAATTATTAGTCCCAATTCGAGTCTTTTGATTACTGCTGGGATTTACCGCGACCCAGGATTCAATAGCCACTTTTTTTCTAAGATCAAAATAGATATTTTCCCAATTAAAATATTTTCTATTAAGATTTTTTTCTATATATGGAATATATACCCTTTCTATTCTTCCTATAAAAATATTGATAGGGATACTTCGAAGTTATTTACAATTTAATTTTTATAATATTAAATTTAGAATTAGTATGTGAAATTTACATATTTAAAAACTACATTAAAAGTATTATTATACACAAAAAATCAAATTTAAAAATTATAAGTAAATACTAATGAAAACAAGCAAAAAAGAAGGACTTGATTTGACCATTGAATAGTGAGTAAGACAGATAAAATGAGACAATGAAATAATAATATTATTATTATACAGTAATATAAATATTTAAAATTTTAATATAAAGTACTAATTTGTAATATTTCGTATCAATTTTTGCGCATCGCGCATAAAAAAATACTAGTTTGTAAAGAAATATTAAAGTATTCAATTAAAAAATATTTGTCTGGTGAAATTTTTTTGAAGGGGTGAGTATTATTAGTAGTAAGAAAATGTGGGTAAAAATTGGAAACAGGAAAACGACGGTGGGTACTGTAGCGCGTCTCTGCCATAAAAGCCTCGCTCCCTATATAGTCGCCCATTCCAAAGTGGAACCCGCCAATGCGAATATAAATTTTGAGCACAAAAACGCGAGAAGAGAGAGAGAGAGAGAAGACGGAAACTCCAAGGTGGTAAAAAAATTACGAAACGCCATTGATTTCTTGAGTTGGCAGGGAGCAGAGCTTTTTGAACACCTGGCTTGGCTGCTCTGCTCCCACCTCACCTTCCCATATTTGCTTTATGAAAATGTTGGGTCTCTTGAGATCAGTGATTCATCTCAGTACCACCACCACCTCAAAATTGGGGTTTTATTTAATAATAATAATAATAATGCTGCATGGTTTGTTGATTGCAATTGCATTTAATGAGGGATTAGGAGAAAAAAAGGATGAATGAGGTGAGCACAAATGTCATGCAGTTGAATGAGGTCTGTTTGTCTGCATTTGGTTTCTGAATTTAGCAAATCCCATCCTTCAATTCCTCATAATTGTCATCTCCCAACTTCCCAACTTCACTCGCGCTGCCCTGAATCAGAGGAGGAGGTGGAGGAGAAGGAGGGGAGATTCATCGAACACTTGGTCTGCTTCTTCTGCTTGGATTGGCCGCGGCGGTGACGATGGAGATTTCCGAGGTTTCTACTGAGCGATTCAGCTTTTTAGCCATGGGATTGGGGGGATCCAACTCCCCCAATAATCCTCCTCCACCTCCACCTCCCCCTCCCGTTGATCATCACTTCACCACTCTCCATCTCGCCACCGCCTTCAATGCTCAGCTCAGGAAGAGGATGCGTAGCCAACGCCGCCGCCGATCTTCCCTCAACTTCTCTCCGCTGCGTTTCCACCACTCCTTCCACCTTCCTCACGTCTCTCCTCCACCCCCACCCCCACCAACTGTACGCTCTCTCTCTCTCTCTCTCTTTCTCTCTCATCATTATTTACTTCCTGTACTTTATTACCTGTTTATGTGCTGCCCTTTTCTTTACTGTAGTTTGTAAACGACTCCCTAAATTAGCTGGGCCAATTTGTAGATTTATGGGTTTATTGATTTTAGACAAGAACCAAATTTTAACTTTTGGCAATTAGCTTGATTTTGTTGGGTGGAAGCCTGAAGGGTCAAATCCATCACCTTGCCTTTGTAAAATGTGGCAATATAGAAAAATAAAATTGTGTTTGATCCTAACAAATGGTGAGGGGATTGTGTTTGATCAGTTTTCATTACTATTCAATAAGTTTGCCAATCAGGGTAATACCCAATTATCATCATAAAATTGAAGGGGACATGGACGTAAAAAGATTTTAATTTGACCAGTGTAGGAGGATACTATACACAAAATGTTAATTTGTTGAACAATCGAAACGTTCACTTTAATGTAATGATTTATGACTTTAGCCGATTAAGTGTGAATTAATGAGATTCTCTCAATGTCATGAAGTTTGGATCCTTAGAGAAGTGCAAATTTGGTGAGATCAATGAACTTACATTCTCCACTACATCATGTTAGTGGAAGACAAGAATAAAGATAAATGGCTTGTTGAAAAGCAAGGGCCTAAAGAATTTGGAATTTGAATGAGCGGTGGGTGGCAAATAATCTTCGAGTTAGAAACTAAAATATGACAACATGTTAAGGTAGAAGATAATATAAAACTAGAGAGACGACTACTCTCCATTGCAATGGAGACTAGTGGGATACTGGGATCAAGATATAAGGTATAGTTTGATAGTAAGTGACGTTCCTTTTCAGATAAGGTTAAAGGTTTACTAAAAGAGATATATGAATAATTTGAACATATTTATCACAATGTTTACTTTCAACATGGTCCAATCATTGCTCTAGTATTTCCACTAAAACAATGTGTGCCATGTGCTCATATTATGGACATTCTCTTGGACACTTCAGCATATATTAATTCCTACCAATAGAAGTCCTTACCTCTTTCATATATAGTACATGAGTTAAATGCCATTTGGTCAGTCCCCTACCACTTAGTGTGCTGACGGTTGGGACAGAGGATTAATCTTCTGACTATCGGCCGGAGGGATACCTTTGGGCAACAAAAAAAAAAGTCCTTAGCATACCATTTTATCATTCATAGTTCATACTATATGTTTATCAACTTACCTTCTTGTAATTGTTATGTGCTATACAGGCACCGGATTCCTCAAGATTTAGATTTCTCTTTGACAAGGAGCTTAAGAACAGCGATGTTGGTCCTCTTAGGAGAATCGTCATACCAAAGGCATAAATCTTTTCGTCGGATCCAATAAACCCGTCAATTAAACAAGAGCTACTCTGAATTTCTTTCTCAGTTTGATTGGCAATTTATTAAATATGTTTAAGGAAGTGTGCACATGCATGTAGCGGTGCACGAGCTTCCTACTTTGCCACCGCTTATTCATATTCTTTGTCATTTAATTTGTTTATTTTAGAAACCAGCAGAAGACTATCTTCCTAAACTTCTTGTAAAGGAAGGGTTTCCAATCAGTATGGAGGACATGGATGGTCGGCATGTTTGGCATTTCAAGTTCAGGTTTGAGTCGGTTCACTGAATGCATTTTTCATTTAAAGTTTTCACTAAAAATTCAAAAATCCCGCCTTACCTTTGTTTATACATATATGCTATATATGTATATTTCAATTACAAGCTAGCATGTCTTTCACAACATGAAAGGCGTTAAACTGGCTTCATCAATAGACTTATGAGATCTTCTGTTTGTCTTTCTGAGTAGTTGTAACGTTTCACTAGTATAATTTTAATTTAGTTTAGCTATACTGGGTTGCGGGCTGTTGAATAAAATAATATAATGAGGTATTTAATTTACTCCCTTTTACAGATACTGGCCTAACAACAGCAGCCGCATGTATGTGCTAGAAAATACCGGTGCGAATTTCTAAACTCTAACTTTGATTCATCTGGTAGTTGTGATATTCTTGATATCTGACACTCAGGCATAAGAAGAGTATCTCGTTGAATGTTCTTAGGTGGATTTGTCAATGAACATAGTCTGGGGCTTGGAGACTATGTTGCGTTCTACATTGATGAGCAAAAACAGAACTACGTATGCAGTTTATTTCAACCTATATATATATATGCAAAATTGTGTAATTGAAAAAAAGTGGTGTTCCTGAGGAGTGGTATCGAGTAGTCTATGCTGACTGCTGATAGTTTTATTATAGGTGATTGAAGCGAGAAAAGCCGGGGATCAAGGAGGGTGCAAAGCTGCAGAGGCTTTAACAGATTATGGACAGAATGATGATGTTGAAGCTGGTGTAATCCAAAACCAAGCCGATGCATCGTGCTACTATCCTCAGAGCTTCCCGAGAGTGGATGACATGGAAACGACGTCGTTTGTGTATGATACCACCTTCTCGAATGAATTATCTCCCTTCGATTTTGTGGGAGGCTCAATCACCAACTACTCGACTATTGATCCATGGTCGAGCTTCGGATCGATTGAGAGTTTGTCTATTGATGATTTCTATTCGGCCGCGAAGTAGCATCAGAAAGTATAAGACATTTTGCAACCTCAAATACTAGCTATGCTTTGCAATGAAGAAATATGTGCTATTTTGAGAAAATGGGTCTCTTGTAACAATTTTTTTTTTTTTTTGGTGGGAGATCAGAGCAGGTTTGAATTTGGGTTTGCCCTTGTTTGATACTACCTGGCCTGCAAGTATATATATGTAATAAGAAAGCACTTCTGGGAGCATGTATGTTGTTAAAGCTTGATATTTTAATTTTTAAAACGTGATGTCAAGAGTCAATAATGTCTGTTCGGTATGTGGAGTTGAAGGAGCATTTGTTATACCATGGACCAGGGTCTATTTTTCTGGTCTTAAATTGTGTATTTTTAGTATTGAAATTGTGAATTTGAATTTTTAAAAGGTAAATTGTGAACATTTAATATATAAATTGTGTATTTTTGGATCCATTAAATTGTATATTTTTGGATCTGAATCCACGGAATAATCTGCCCTAAAAGAGTGTCTATTTTTTATTGATTATTTGATTTGTCCATTCTCAAGATAAGTATGTGCACTGACATGCATTGGAGTGGATACAAATTTCTTTTTGATAGGACTTTCAACTTTGCCCTTGTGATATGGACTTTATGGAAGAACAAAATTGAAAAGCTCTTTGAAAGCAAGGGAGTGTTAACCCTTTACAACTAGTTATGAATGTTTTTAATAGATTATATGAAATTTAAAAAGCTAATGATATTTTTGTGATGAATGAAGTTGAAAACGGCAGATTTATATCGTGCACCACGGCGCACATATCAATGTGAATCCAGGCACAAAATGCGCGTATTTCTTGCTGACGTCACTCCGTTCGTCTAAACAGACCAAACCCCATTATGTGTATTCAGTTAAAATTTTATGTGTATTGTGTTATGAATTTATGTGTATTCAGTTAAGAGTTTATGTGTATTATGCTAACCAAATCCCATTATGTGTTTTCAATTAAAAGTTTCTGTGTATTATGTATTCTGTTATGAGTGTGTATTCTATTATGAGTTTATGTGCATTTGAAACAGATGATTTTTTTTAACAACTTAACAAAACGACGTAGTTTTGCGAGGCGCGGGGTGCACAATGATATGTTCGCCGTGGTGCACGGTATAACGATTGTTGAAAACTTGGGTTTTATGAATTTGGATTGGGTTTGTTTTTTTGTTTATTTTAATAATTTTAGTATAAGTATTATATTTTTATCTTGACCCGACTCGTTTCACCGGTAAGAATTCGTAAGAAGATCTCAGACCTATGGCCCCCGTGATGGATGCTAGAATGGCGAGACAAAGGAGCTTTGGGGGGCGTATAAGGAGACAAGGAGTTGTACTGGCGGAGTGTGGAAGTCAATTGCCAAAGGATTTTTAGGACATTTCGTTGCCTAATTTAAGTTACTTTCCATTTGTATTTTAGGAATTTCCATTTGTATTTTAAGAATGTGATCTTGTATTTTAGGATGATAATTTCCTTTTTAAAGTTTGATATTTTAATTTTTAAAATGTGATTTCAAGAGTCAATAATGTTTATTCGGTATATGGAGTTGAAAGAGTGTTTATTCTTTATTGATTACGTGATTATACATTCTCATGACAAGTATACTGACATGCATTAGAGTGGATACAAATTTCTTTTTGATGGATAGTTGCAAAACTTGAATAATGAACCAAATACAAGGTGATGATGACAAGTTTATTCAAGGCAAGAGTGTTAGCCCTTTATGGAAGAACAAAAATGAAAAGCTCTTTGAAGGCAAGAGTGTTAGCCCTTTACAACTAGTTATGAATGCTTTTAATAGATGATATGAATTTTAAAATTAGAAAATTAAAAGAGTAAGTCTTAATGTTACAATGTCACATAGTTGAGAGTCATAGATGCTGCATATTTTGGGTTTACTTGTAACCATAGATCCACTATACAGGCTGAACAATCTAAGATTAAGAGTCACTGGATAATCATTATGAAATATTCTCATTAGACACAATCTATTGGCAAGACCAACTTTGCCATTATTGGAGATTGATGAGTGTTCAAGAATCACTACTTTTAACATGCTATGCTGACTGCAGGTACTGATTATGAAAATCATCAGACACAATTTATTTGTAAGAACGAATTTGTCATTATTAGAGATTGACGGGCGTTGAAGAGAAACAAATGTGCACTGATGACGGGAGAGTTGGTACTTCATCATCACCTCCATCCCAAACCAATTGATTTTAATGTAGATTGTTGTTTGTGAAGACTATTATATTATTGTTTAGACTTGAATGGACTATTATTACTTACTAAATGTGGATTGATAATGTATTATTATTTGAACTTAATGTGGATTGATAATATTTTAGAATTATGTTATATTTTATTTTAGAATTAATAGTATTTTTTTATATATATTATTGTAGTTTTATATTAATATTTTAAAACCAAAACTATGTGGTCTAATGGTACCCGGGTTGGACTTTCATTTAGAAAGCTCTATATTGTAATAGAGCCGGTAGCATTCAAAAAAAAAATATTAATATTTTCAAAACACTCCTTACTATTTAAAAATAATAATTTTATATAATTTCTTTAAAAAATAATTCAAAAAATGCGACGAAATCGCGACAGAATATAAGTTTCGCGACGGACTATTAGTTGCAATAAATGCGACAGAAAAATAATATGGCGACGTAATATTCGTTTTAGATATGGCGACGGAATTATCGTCGTAATCATTTCCTTTGCACAAATTGTGATGGAAATGTTTCCGTTACAAATTTGCGACGCCATTTTTCCGTCGCCTTATTTTGCGACGGAATATAAGTTTCGCGACGGGCTATAAGTTGCAATAAATGCGACAGAAAAAAAATATGGCGACGTAATATTTGTTTCAGATATGGCGACGGAATTATCGTCGTAATCATTTCCTTTGCACAAATTGTGATGGAAATATTTCCGTTACAAATTTGCGACGCCATTTTTCCGTCGCCTTATTTTGCGACGGAATTATTTCGTCGTCTATCAAAATACGACAAGGCGATAGACGACGGAATAGATTTCATCGCATAACGTGATTCGCAACTGAATTTTGTCCATTCGCAACGAAATTTTTCCGTTGCGATTCGCAATTTTCTTGTAGTGATACTTAACTTTCATTTGTTTGCCACAATTAGTCATTCTTTTAAAATTTTGTTACTCTACCATTTAATGAATATCAATTATATATAATTTAATCATTCAATTAAGGCAAAAATTTGTGTGAGACATTATCACGAATCCTTATCTGTGAAATGAGTAGGGTTAATATGAAAATCTAATACGTACTTATATTGAAAAATGTAATATTAATCATGAATGTATTAGTCGGGCCAGGTCTATACGTGTCTGTTACTTATAAAGAGAAGTGTAATACGAAGTACTTTTGAAGAAAAAATATAGGACTTTTACATTTTGATTTAAGGGTACGTTTGGAAATCAGGAAAATGACTTCCGGAAATCATTTTCAGATTTTTCTATGTTCGAGTATTCAAGGAAAATAAAGTCAAAGGAAAATATTCATTCTAATCAACCGAAAAAAGGTCCAATTTGGTGGAAAATGTCTTTCTAGATTTTTAGCATGGTTGAAAAAAAAAAACTAATCAGCCGACTGGTGGCCTAGGTGGTCTAGTCGGTCGGCCGCCTAGATCACCGATTACGGTGATACTCTAAACGGCCAGCTGGCGCCTAGGAACCGATTAATCGGTGCCTAGGTGCGATTTTTGCAACATTGATTTTTAGTCAAAATACATTTTTTGGATTCTTTATTTTATCGCATTTATCTTCTTTCTCAAGAAAAATAAAGTCAAAGGAAAATATTCATTCTAGTCTCTCTTGCCACCACCGCCATCATCACCACTACCACCACACCACCACTATCACAAGTTCACAACCACCAACACCACCGCCGCCACCACACCACCAACACCACCGCCGCCACCATACCACCACCACCGCCACCGCCACTAGTACCACCAATACCACCACTTACTATTACTATTACTATTACTATTATGGGTTGTTTGGTTCACGGAATAGGCCTGGAATGGCATAGCATTCCCAGTAATAGGCTTATTCCTCTGTTTGATAACCACTTGTATAGAGATTCCTGGGGGACCCCTGGTATTAGGCTATTCCTGAGTTCTCAGGAATAGCCTAAAGTTTCTATTTCCTTTTTTACCCCCCAATTAAATTTATTTCCTATTTCACCACCGCCGCCGCCACCACCATCACCACCGCCACCGCCGTCGCCACCACCCCACCATCGCCACTGCCACTAGCACCACCATCCTAGCAGCAGCACCGCCACCACCACCATCACCACCGCCGGCGTCGCCACCACCACCATTGCCACCACCGCCACCATCACATATTTTTATAAGGGTATTTATGTCTTTTAAAACATATTTCATTTTTATTCCTTAAATCAACCAAACACTGTAATATAATTCCTAAAGTATATTCCTTCCGCGAACCAAACAATAGAATACAATTCCTATTATATTCCTTGCATATTCCATTCCTTATGGAATATCATTCTTATTACCTCAAAATTCATTCCGTGAACCAAACGTGTTGTTACTATTACTATTACTATTACTATTACTATTAGGAAAATGAACTAAACAGAAAAAAAATACAATTTCTTAACTTTCAGTCAAATAGAAAAAGATAGTTTTCTAACCTTTAACCAACATTAAAAAATGAAATTGTTTTTTTGGAAAACATTTTCCAGGTTTCCAAATAGACTGTAAAAGTATTACATTTTTCATCAAAAGTATTACACTTTACCGAACACATTTCTTTAGGCAAGAGGTAAACAGACATAGCAAAAATAGGAAGCGCTTGAGCAATACTTTTAAGCAAAATTTCCTTACCGGCTCCAGAAATGAAGTTCTTACACCAATTCTCAATCCTCTGGCGCACACTTTGCTTAATATACCTGAAAGTCGCCGATTTGTTGCGCCCAATCACCGAAGGTAGGTCAAGGTATTTACCAAACGAATCTGTCACACGAACTCCAAAAAAATTGGCCACCTGATCTCTAGTCTCTGTAGCAATATTAACACTAAAAATAATTCTTGATTTATCATAGTTCACTGCCTAACCCGAAGCACCACAATGTATCCAAACACCTCTTAACCACTTGAGCCTCATGATGACTAGCTTTGAAGAACAGAAGGCTATCATCCGCAAAGAATAGGTGCGTGATAGGC